CTGCAATGCAACTGACTGGTCGTAGGAAATTCCCACCAGTTTACACATCATCTTCGCCGGTCTGATCATCATCCTCTCGTTCCTCCAATACGAATCCCCCCGATTCCTGATCAAGAAAGGCAAACCCGAGCAAGCCCTGCGTAACCTCTCGCGCATCCGCAACCTCCCACAAGACCACGAGTATGTCGTGCGAGAGATCACCGCCATCCAACAAGCTCACCAGGCCGAGCTGGAAGCCACCATGGGCGCTGGCTGGCTTGGCATCCTCAAAGAAGCCTTCTTCATCCCGAGCAACCTATACCGCCTCTACCTGGCCGCCATGGCCCAGCTTCTGTCGCAGTGGTCCGGCGCGGGCTCGATCACACTGTACGCGCCGGATCTCTTCAAGCTCCTAGGCATCACCGGCTCCAACGAATCGCTCCTCGTGACCGCCGTCTTCGGCATTGTCAAGCTCGTGGCCGCCATCATCTGCGCACTCTTCCTCGTGGACGTAATCGGTCGCAAACGCGCCCTGCTGCTCGGCATCACCCTCCAGGGCATCGCCATGGTCTACATCGCGGCGTTCCTGACCGACGTGCCCCAAATGGGCATCGACGACGCCTTCGTCCTCCCAGACTCGAAAAAGGGGATCAGCCGCGGCGCGATCGCCATGATTTACATCTCGGGCGTCGGCTGGGCCCTAGGCTGGAACTCGATGCAGTACCTGCTGACGGCGGAGCTGTTCCCGCTGCGCATCCGCGCCCTCGCCACCTCGGCCGCCATGACCCTGCACTTTGTGAATCAGTACGGCAACTCGCGCGCCGTGCCCAACATGCTGCTCGCCACCCCCGCCGGCGGCATCACCCCCAAAGGCACCTTCTGGTTTTTCGCTGCTGTCACCGTGCTCGGCGGCGTGTGGGTGTGGTTCAGTGTCCCCGAGACGGCGGGCCGCAGTCTGGAGAGCATGGATCGCCTGTTCGAGTTGCCGTGGTACAAGATCGGCCGGTACGGGAACCGCGACGCCGAGCAGCGCGATCTGGTCGTCAGCGAGAAGCAGGAGCACGCGGACGAGCATTTCGGGACCGCGACGCACGAGGAGCGGGCGGATGTGGCGGCTAAGGTGTGATTCAGTCGGTCTTGGTCTTACGAATGGATCTTGTGGTGAGGTGGTGTGGCCTTTGAGCCGATACAGAATTCTTTACTATCTTGTCACTCGCGGGATTATTTGCATTGGAGTCTCGAGTGGCTGGCCTTTAGCCTCTGGTGCTTACCACCGGGTCCCACCGGAAATAGGTCGGTAGGTCATATACGTAGGCATGTCTCAATCTAAGATACCATAGTTACTGCCTGTACAAGACGCAATGCAGCACATATACCTGTGCATAAGAACCGATCCTTAAGCAGACCTCCACGGCTACATGCCCCATGCCCCATGCCCCATCCACCCTTCCACAATTCGTCTACAACCCTATCACTGACGGCAAGCGAACTACATCCACCACATTTCCACGTGAAGCTAGCATTACTCCCAAGTTTCGTCTCTTTCCAACAGGAGTGTACACGAAGCGACGCCGGTTCGTCGTAGCGCTCAACGCCCATGTACATGAACACCAGCCGCGATAGTTATTGTTAATCGAGTCTTGCTGTCAGACCATGCCATTGCATCTTGTACAGTACACAGCTACAGTACCTACTCCACGCGCTCGACGCGCTGCACCACCATCGCCGTCGCCGCACCGCCCCCATTGCAAATCGCGGCGACGCCATACTCGCCCGGCTGCAGCTGGTGCAGCAGGGTGACCAGGATGCGCGACCCGGAGCTGCCCAGCGCGTGGCCGAGCGAGATGGCGCCGCCGAGGGGGTTGACGCGGGCGTTCTCGAGGCCGAGGATCTACGTAGATTGCGTTAGCAAAGTCCAGTTCCTTGAAAATCTCACCACGATAGCCTCTCCCGCGCCAGATAGCGAACGTAAACGTGAACGTAAACGTCAAGTAAACGTACCTTCTCATTCGCCTTGATAACGGCGGCGAACGCCTCATTGAACTCCCACACCGCCACCTGCTCCTTGGAGATCCCCGCGCGCCGCAACGCAATGGGCACGGCCTTGGCCGGCGCGACCGGGAAATCTACGGGATCGACCGCGGCATCCGCGGCGGCGACCACGCGCGCCAACACGGGGTTGCTGCCATCGCCGGCATACTCCCTGGCCAGATCCCTGGAGCCGAGGACTAGCGCGGACGCGCCGTCGTTCATGGTACTGGCGTTGCCGGCGGTGACGGTGCCCGAGCCGTCGCGCAGGAAGGCCGGCTTCAGCGCGCGCAGCTTGTCAGCCCTCAGATTTTCGAAGCCCTCGTCCGTGTCGACGACCGTCTCCTTGCCTCTCTTATCCCGGACGGTCACGGGAACGACCTCTGCCGCGAACCGGCCGGACTGCCACGCGGCCTGCGCGCGCTCGTAGCTGCGGATCGCATAGTCGTCCTGCGCCTCGCGGCTGACCCCGTGCTTCTTGGCCGTCGTCTCCGCGCAGATCCCCATGTGGATCTGGTTGTACACGTCCCACAGCCCGTCCTTGATCAGCCCGTCCTCCAGTTTTATTTCGCCGAAGGGGGGCAGCTGCGCGCTCCGCGGCAGGTAGTACGGCACCCGCGACATGTTTTCCATCCCGCCGGCGATCTGCGCGCGAGAGAGCCCCAGCTGGATGTTCTGGGCCGCGAGTGCCACGGCTTTCAGGCCCGAGGCGCACACCTTGTTGATCGTTGTGCAGTCGAGGGAGGGCGGGAGGTCGGCGAAGATGGCCGCTTGGCGCGCGGGCGACTGCCCCATGTTGGCGGACAGGACGTTGCCCATGTAGAGGTCTGTGAATTCGGGGATGGGGACCCCCGATTTGTGGACCGCGGCGCGGATGGCGGTTGCGCCGAGGTGGGGGGCGGAGATGGTGGCGAAGGGGCCGTTGAACTGGTTCAGCCTCGGTTAGTGGTGGTAAATGGAAAAAAAAGGGGGGGTCTGGGGGGTTCTCCCCCCATGCGCTTGAGGTTGGGGGATGAGGGTAGGGTGGGGTGGTGCTGGTAAAGAGGGGGGTATGGGGGTCTCCCCCATGATCGTCAAGGGTGGATGGTGACTGAGGATTGTAAAAGTGGGCAGATAGGATGCAGAAATGTAGGAACAAGAGCTTACCTTCGCAGTTGGCGTGCGAGCTGCACTCAGAATATAGGCTTCTTCGATCTGAGAGGGCCGGGTGGTGTGGAAGGCGCGCTGGAACTGAGGCCGTGCGGGGAGGGCCCGCATCGCACGAGTGGTGCGCTGCATGATGACAGGGCGGATGGATTACAAGCGAGAGAGAAAAGATAAATTTATGACAAAAGTATTATGATTGATGTAGGAGAGTGATTAAAGTGAGTGTAAGTGTAAGTCAAGAAAAAGCAGGGTGAGGGTAACTCCTCAGGTATATCCAGATATTAAATGAATGAAGTCCGCCTCCGCCCGCCTGTAGCCGCTGAGCCGCTGCCGAGGTAACCCCATCACGTGCGGGGTCACATGCGGGGTCGGCCTTTCCTCCGAATTCCTTCCAACACTTCAAACATAGGAAAACCACAACACAGATGACCGAACGAAAGACCGAAAGACATATGAAAACGTCCCACAAAACACCAACACCTGCAAAGCCAACATCCAAGCCAACTACCGCCATCTTCCCAACCTCGACCCTCCACTCCGATCGTCCTCGTCCGCAATCCGCTCATCGCCCGGAAACATCGGCCAACAATCCGTCATCGAAGCGCGCGTGCGCGGTCGGGCCCGTCGCTGCACTATGCGCGGACTCCTCGCAGCCTCGTCGCTACGACGCGCAAACGAGCTCTCCAATACTCGGGACCCTCGCTCCCTCAGATCCCGCCTCCCCTCCTGAATAATGCGCGGTCGTGCTTGTTGCAGCGTGTGCGATCGGGGCGCCGATGGCGTGGGTCGAGCCCGTGAGTCCAGACGCGTGGGATAAGGCGAGGCCGTACGAGGGCGGACCGGATCTCTGGATGTCATGCGCCCACGGCTGGCGTGGGTGTCCAAGGAGCGACTGCGGCGGTTCATCGGGCGGATGGGGATTCTGCTGGGTGGGGGGCGCGTCGTGGTTGGGCGCGTGGGGCTGTCCTCGCCGGAACTGCCTGTCGTCGTGTCCTCCACCGGGCTGTTCTCGCTCGAGCTGGGCGGGAGCTGCTCCAGATTCTCGGCGAAGTGGACATGGCGCGTCGGGGTCATGCTTCGACTGCTCTGGGGCGGAGAAGCAGTCCGGAGTCGCGGCATCCCTGGCGTGGAGCGCGTCTTGCGGATGGGCTCCCGCTCCGCCACGGGGGAGCGCGGGCGCGGGGGCCGGGTCCGTCGCGGGGGAATGGGTGGAACGGGTGAAATCACCCGGGCGGCTTGAGACCGGGGTTGGCGGATCTCCAACTCCACTGTCGGTCGGGCGGGTTGAGAGCGAGAACGAGGCCGGAATACCTGTTTGATTGCACGCGTCAGACGATTCTTCTGCGAAGGGCTCGGGCGATGTACCACTTCTGGATCCATCGTGATTGGCGATGTGGGTCGTCTGGGTTGAGTGACGAAGATCTGCTTGAACACTCGTGTCAGCCGTCTTCGTTTGGAAGGGATCGAGGGAAGTCCCACTGGTGACGGTGTGGCGGGTCGAGGCCGCCCTCGAGGCAGGCGTTCCTCGCGCAGAGCTCGCGCCCCTGGACGTGGAGCGGCAAAGTGAATCGCCGGTGGTGATCGCGAGGGCGTCGATCTGTACGAAGTCTTGGGTCGCATGGGCGACACCAGGTGGGGCTCAGGGCGACGGGGAGGGTCGACCACGACGGGCGTGCGTTGCCAGGGCCGGCCGCGCGGCCGCTGGGGTGGCAGCGGCCGCCTCAGTTCATCGTCCGACGAGTCAGGCTGCCGTCGGAGAAAGGGAAACCGAAATTTGAAGCTTCCACTACGTCTGCGGGTGAGTGGCCTCGGCATACCGTGCGGGTCGTCTAGGCCCCTCATATTCGTGTTTCCTGGCACCTCGCGGCAGTCTCGTTCGATACTGGTCCGTGTTTCTTTGCGGCAGAGTCTGATCCAGCCTCGGGGACAGCGCTTCACGTTGCGCTCGATGCGCCTAATCCCCCCCGGAAGGACTTCGATGGTTTCTCTGATATGGCACATGATTAGCAGAGACTCTCTCAGACCTGCCGTGTACTGGGGTGGGTGATTACTCTATGACAGGTAGGTAATTCAAATGTGATGCTGATTGTTTCTAGCCGAAGGGCCGTAGGGCGGCCAGATATACTTGCCGGGGGGAGACTCGCAGATGAAACCTGCCCTCACAGACAAAGAACGCGCACCGGCATCGTAGAGCAGTGGGGACAATAGGCGTGGCCTCCGACCTCTTTGTGTAGACAGCGGCGTTGTCGCGACAAGGACAACGAGGATGAGCGTGAAAGCAACCAACTCTTGTTGTTCAGTCCCGGGCGACATGTGGTAGGAGTCATGGGTTCACCGCGCCTGATAGAGAAAGGAGGAGCAGAACATACGAGGCATAGGTTGGTTCAGGTGGTTAGGAAATCAAAAGACAAAAGAGATAAAGAGTGGGTTCTCGTCCATAAACAAGGGGAAGAGTCAAAGACATTATATCTCCTGGCCCATCATCGAGCGCACATGGAACGGGAGATCACCGGATTCGAGCCCTGGGCTCTTTTTGTCTTCCTCTCCAGCCTTCGTGTGGCTGAGCAGGGTGAGTCGGAGTAGCTTCAGGTGTAGGTGTAGTAGGTGTGGTATAGTAGGCACCAGACCATACCTATTCCAAGCTAGAGGGGAGTCATTCATGTCTACTTCGTATTGTGGGATTGTCGGTGAGTGCTCGGCATATTGCTGTAAGTCCCAGCCTTACGAAAGAGGTAGTTAGTACTTACTTAGTACAGTAAGTAGGTAAGTTAGGGAATGATGGAAAAGGTGCAGTGCAGTGCAGTGCAAGTGGAGGTCAGGTCACCCGGGCTCTCTCTTTCTGACCCTCCTATCATCCAGCCCGAGTCACCCGGGCAATTGCAGTAACCAGATGACATGACATCACCAGCCTTTTTTGTTTCCCTTTTTTGTTTTTACGGTTCGTCCTATTTGATTATTTGGGCGGTGAGGGAATGACCAGGATATACACTAAGAAAATCACCTGCATTGCGTAGTACACCAGAAGAGCCTCCTCATTACCTCTCTCTCTCGTAGGTCTTATGGCTTGAGTGAAAGATGGAAGAAGAACCTGCGGCCGGCCCTGCACAGGCTGCACCCGCGGCAGCCTGCAGCCACCAACAGGATCAATACCTAGACGCTTGATGGTTGGTTGGTTGGGATCGCTGGGTCCCTGACTCTCCCCTGCAGTGTATACCGTCATACCCTAGCTAGTCAACTCCCTATAGAAACCCGCTAAGAATAAATTGGAAGAAAGAATTACCAGGCAGCGATTGTATACTGGATATAGTCCTTGCGGTAGCGTACTATAGGGGTCCGTTGTGCCTGACCTGGCCTGCCCTGCCCGAGCCACAGTTCGTATCGCAGCCACAGCCTCGTGGTGTGGCGCTTGGGGGATGGGACTCTGGCCAATCACCGATGGGGTTGGAGGGTTGTTGGGTTGATGGGTTGTATGTGTGGGTAAATTGTAAGCAGCATGTTGGTTGCATGCCGGATCGGTCCGGTGCGTACTACGACTTGTTCTTGCGGCTTTGGGTTGTTTGTGGGCTGTGGATGGTGGTGGTGGAGATGGATGGCGGGAGGATGAGGTGGTTATGGGAGGAAGGGGATGGCGCAGTTGCTGAGCCACGATCCTTCCATACTCACTAGTCTAAGGGTGATGACGGATAATTGGATTTTCTGCGAAGAGGAGTGGACACGGGTCCTTGGATGGGTAATCAAACAATGGCATTTTGAATGACTACACTACAGTTACTGAAGTACCCAGACCGATGCTAATTCTCCACATCCACCACCTGCCCCGTCCGCAACGCCCGTCCGATCGCGTCCACTACATCCAACGCCCGCAACGCCTCTGCCCCCGAACACACCGGCTCAACCTTCGCTTCCAACACCTCCACAAAATGCGCCAGCTGCAGCGCGAACGGCGTCTGCGTCGTGTCCACCGCCGCCCGCTCCACGGCCAACTCCTCGTTCCAGCTGCGCTGCGCGCGGCCCTCGTAGCTCCACAGCCGCATGTCCGGCACGCTCAGCGACCCCTTCTGTCCGAAGATCCGGTAGAAGCCTTCCCCACCACCCCCCGAAACCTGCGGGATGAGCGGGTTCTCGCCGGTGCCGGCCTCGAAGCTCCACGGCGCCGGCGTGGCATCGCACACCAGGAAGGTGCCTACCACGCCGGAGGCGAACCGCAGGGTGATCGCGGCGCCTTCTTCGGCGTCGTGCGGGGGAGACGGCCGGGTGGAGGGCGTTTTCTCGGCGAAGACCCGCGTGATCGGGCCGAAGAGGTAGTGCAGTAGGTCGATATCGTGGATCAGGTTGATGGAGAGTACCCCGCCGCCTGTGGTGGTGCTGCGGCGCCAGTCGCCCGGCGGGGCGAAGTAGCTGTCGGGCTTGTACAGGGTCCAAAGGCCGTTGAGCGCGATGAGCGGGCCCAGGGCGTTGCTGGAGAGGAGCTGCTTCGTGGCGGTGATGTAGGGGTTGAAGCGGCGGTGGTGGCCGATGAGCAGTTTCGGGGATGACGGGGTGAGGGTTGACAGGAGGGCGCGGGCCGTCGCTGGGTCGTCGCTGATGGGCTTCTCCAGCAGCACGTGGATGCCCTGCGCCAGAAGGTCGGTGGCGATGGGGATATGTGTGTGGTTAGGGGTGCAGACGATGGCTGCGTCAGGACGCGGGGTGGAGGGGCTGGCGAGGAGGGCGGCCACGGAGGGGAAGTAGGCCGTCTGCAGGGTCTCGGCCGTTTGGACAGCGTTGGGGGAGGGGTCCACCAAGGCAAGGAGGTTGGTGTTGGGGTTGGCCTGGACGGTTTGAGCATGACGGGGGCCAATGAGGCCGGCCCCGACAATGATGATATTAAATGGCATACTGAAAAATTTGGGGATGTGGTTGTTCGGAGGCAGAGTTGCAGGGGCAGAGCAGCTGGGGAGCAGCTAGTTATACCTCGTCCATGCAGTTGGGTCCGGGGTGACCGATGGACCATGGGGTGGGTCGTTCCATGACATGTCTGACTCACAGACCTTGGTGTCTCCGGATAATCGGATGGAGATTGGGATAGCCAGAGGCAGGGACGAGTCGTGTCTGGGCCTGGTGGCTAGACGAGATCTGGGGATGAGCTCTTAACCGGGGTGTACAGCATATAACGTACTCGACCTTGGTTCTTGATGCAGGTGCAGTAGATGGATACATCTTCGTTGTGATAGTAAATGGTATAGTAATGATAGTATTAGAGAGCGATGACTAGTATGGACACCGAGATTGTAGGATTCTCATGTATGAGTTACCAACCACTTTTGAAGTGATGGCACAAAGCAGATAGTAAAAAGAGAAGAAAGCAAGTGCCGAGAGCAGTCACCGACCCAGTCACCGTCCCAGTCACCGTCCCCGCAAAAGCCGGGCTCGCCAAACCGGGGCCGCCAAACCGGGGCCGCCAAACCGGGGCCGGGTCGGGACTGATGCCTCAGGCGCGCGCCGGATGTTTGCACTGTTGCATTGTTTATTGCTTTTGGTACCACGGAAAAGTCTTGGCTTCCCTCTTCAGAGTCTCCTCTTGGCATCGACACTGCCACTCTCCCTCTCCCTCTCCCTCTCCCTCTCCCTCTCCCGTCTGCAACCTTCCTGACTTCATTCAAGGGATGACAGTCCGGTCAGAATGCCCCTGATCGTTTCGTGGAGCAACCATCTGTTGATGTCTTTCACCTCTTCATCTTTCACACCCGACTAAAAGCCTGACGAGGCCGATCATGGCCGCGTCGACCCCGGATTTCCGCCCGGCGGACGACTCGGCCGCCCCGGCTGCGAAAGAATCCTCTTCCCTGAACTTCTTTACCACCAAGCTGGACTTTTTTGTCCATGCACCCAGCCTGGACGATCTCTGTGGTATCTACAACCCAGTGGTAGCTCTGCTCGAGACGGGCGTCCATAATGGCCTCTGGTGGCTGGACGTGACCGCCGCCTCCGATGAGGACATCGAGACCCTCGCGCGGAGCTTCGGTCTCCACCCGCTGACCGTCGAGGACATCACGCAGCGTGAGACGCGCGAAAAGATCGAGCTCTTCGACTCCTACTACTTCCTCTCATTGCGACCCCCCAGTTCCCGCAAGACCGACGACGGCGTGTGCATCGTCTCCCACAACCTCTACGCTGTCGTCTTCCCGGAGGGGGTGCTCAGTTTCAACTTCGGGACCAGCTTGCACGCTGACCACGTCCGGAATCGTATCAAGGAACACCGGAGCCATTTGGCGTTGACCAGCGATTGGATTTGCTATGCTATCATGTACAACCCCTCCCCGTATTTCCTTCTTCAAAGCTAACTCTACTTTCCTAGTGACGCGATTGTCGACGGCTTTGCCCCGTTCATCGCTCGCGTGGAGACCGGTGTCGACCTGATGGAAGATCACATCGCCGTGACCCGCCCGGACGAGATTGGACTGGCTTTGCAGCAGATCTACAAGTGGCGCAAGGAGGTGATTCAGATCCGACAGCTGCTGCATGACAAGACGGATGTGATCCGGTGTTTTGCGCGCCACTGTGATGCGCTGGCGGCTACGTCGACCCAGGTGGCTCTGTATCTCAGTGACATCCGCGACCACGTGCTGACCATGATGGCCAATCTGGAGCAGGCGGAGCAGATGCTCTCGCGGTCGCAGTCGAAGTATCTGTCGCAGCTGCACTTCGACTCCGGGCGCATGCGCAATGAAATCGCCACGGCGCTGAGTCGGTTGACCGTCGTGGCGGCGACGATCGTGCCGATGCAGTTTATCACAGGGCTTTTTGGGATGAACGTCATGGTGCCTGGCAAGTCGCCTGGAGGCCTGGCGTGGTGGTATGGGATTCTTGGGGTTATTTTGGGTTTGATTGTGCTGTTTCTCCTTGTGGCTAAGAGAATGAGGTTGTTTGATCGATAATCTACCGGGGAATAGCAAGCTACGACAGCCATCCACACCCTATCCATTGACCAGCCTGCAACCGTCTAGTCCTTCCTCAGAACCGCCTCTACCAAATCCGCCTGTCGTGCCAGCACCTCTTCCCTCAGCCGCCGTCCGACCAACTGCACATGACAAGGCGCACCTTCTACTTCCTCCGGCCGATCTGCATCCCATCAGTTGGAGTGTCATCGTGGTGGATGGAACACTCACAAGGGGGTCGATATACTGCATCCTGTCTGAACCATTCCCGATCGGCAGCAGCATCGGACCTGCCGAACGGCAGCACGCAGCTCGGACTCTGTACGCGATCAGCACCCAATCCCCCTGGTGTCAGGACAAGGATGTTAGAGTAGAACATACATCCACCAAATTCCAAAACACTGTATACCACACATGACTATACGTATCATGCGGCAGGGCGCAGCTCTGGTACGCCGGCGCCAGGATCACATCCAGCTTTTTCTCCACGAACACCCGGCGCGTCTGCGCAGTGATCTCCGCCTTCCGGGCGGTCAGCTTGAACAGATCGCGCAGGGTCGGCGCTGGGTTTGTCGTGTTGGATCCATTGACAATGCCCACGGACGGAACGTGCGGCTCCCCCGCTGCATCCAGATGCGATATCGCGGTCCGGTCGGCGTCGAGGCCGAACAGCCCGAAGGCGATCTCATTCCCATCCTCCATGTCCGGGAACTGCGTAGTAATATCCACAATCTCGTGGCCCGCAGCAGCGAGCTTCTCGGCCGCCCGATGAAGGTTCCGCGCGATGTTGGGGTGCAGCGGCAGACCCGGGTGCGCCGTGAACAGCCCGATGCGCAGCTTCTCGCCTTCGTTTTGGTCGGACACAGCCCACGGTATGCCCA